AATAAAGGCTATTTTATTTCCAAAGGGATTGCCAAACCCAAAACATTCTGGAGTCCTGGCTCTGCAGACAAAGGGAATTCTGAGCCTTGTAGTGGTAAAAAGTAACATTTACCATCACTGAAACAGAACCCGTGACTTGGTCCTGCCTTCTTGTCCTCTGTAACATACAGGAATGAAGGCAGACAGATGATGATGTTTAGGAAACTCCCTCTCTTTGGGGGGGGGGATGACTCTCACCGTGAAGAGTGAGGTTCACGCCTTGGGGTGTCCATCTGGATCCGGCGCTCACCATGGATACCCAGGTAGTGTTAGTGGCCCGCATCACCTACTTCCATGTTTGGCGGATTGGCCGGCTGCGTCCCTATCTTGATGTCAGGGCGCTCACCACTCTGATGTTTAGGAAACTCCCTCTCTTTGGGGGGGGGGATGACTCTCACCGTGAAGAGTGAGGTTCACGCCTTGGGGTGTCCATCTGGATCCGGCGCTCACCATGGATACCCAGGTAGTGTTAGTGGCCCGCATCACCTACTTCCATGTTTGGCGGATTGGCCGGCTGCGTCCCTATCTTGATGTCAGGGCGCTCACCACTCTGGTCCATGCGCCGTTAGTGGCCCGCATCGCCTACTTCCATCTTTGGCGGATTGGCCGACTGCGTCCCTATCTTGATGTCGGGGTGCTCACCACCCTGGTCCATGCGCTCGTAGTCTCGAGACTGGACTACTGTAATGCGCTCTACGTGGGGCTACCTTTGAGACTGATGCGGAAGCTTCAAATGGTGCAGAACGTGGCGGCCAGACTTCTCAGTGGGACGAGAAAACATCATCATATCTCCCCCACTCTGGCTGCCTTGCATTGGCTGCCCGTTCGTTTCTGCATTGATTTCAAAGTGTTAATGATGACATAGAAAGCCGTAAACGATTTAGGACCTTGATATCTGGCGAAACACCTCCTCCCACCTAGATCTACCCGAATCACTCGTTCTAGCCAAGATGGGCGGCTGAGGGGTCCAACGCCGAGGGAGGCCCGGAGAGAAAGAACAAGAAACCAGGCCTTCTCGGTGGTGGCCCCTCGCCTTTGGAACAATCTGCCTGCAGAGATCCGCCTGGCTCCCTCGCTGGGTGTTTTTCAGAGCCAACTTAAGACCTGGCTCTTTAGGCAGGCTTTCCCCTCCTGTCATTGCCTAAATGCTTTCATCATCTTGTATTATATTATTACTGTTGTCTTTATTTTATTATATATATTGTTTTTACTTGTATGTATTATTGTTAGCTGCCCAGAGTAGACTTTGGTCTAGACGGGTGGGGTATAAATTGAATAAATAAATAAAATAGATGCAGTTAAAACACATACATCATCATGATCTTTCCCTCGACTTTTGGAGGTTTCGCTCTCAGCTCCGACAGTCAAAACAACAACACCCAAGCTGCCGAGGGAGCTCTCAGCCGGCTTCGGGGAATCATAGACTTTGCAGAACCTTTTTTTTTAAAAGGATAGAAGAAAGGTAAACGCTGTACATAGGGCGGGGTGAGGAGTATAGCCCAGGAAAAGCTCAGCAGCTGCAAAATGCAGACTGACCGCATGTGAAGAGAGAGAAAAATGAGAGAAAGCGAGAATCCTCAATAGCAGAACTTGGTGCTGCAAATTTTTGTTGCAGTTTCCCTCTTGTTTCCAGGCTTACCATGTCCCACACGATTTCTAACACACAAATGCAAGAGTAGGCAATACATTTATAGACGACGTTTCAAAAAATCATCATACAATACACGAGCTTTCTTGGATCAGGGCCACTTTGTCAGGCTCGTACCAGTGTGAAGAACTTAAAATCCAAAAGTTCATGGCAAAATGGAATTTTTCAAGGCCCACCTTTCTTAGATGGATGCATAATATTCCATACTATTTCTGTTGCCTCCGGATGAAACCTGTTCGATTTTTCTTCCATTTGCTTGAGGTTTTTTGGCAGGTTGTCGCCTTGTTAAATCATGATGAATACTTTCTCTTTTTTTACTGTTCTTCGAGCAAATGGCTGCATTGTGTTTTATTTACCCAACTAATAATGGGTGTTTTAACAGGCAATTGCTGTTTGAACTTGCAACTGTGGATATATAGTGTTTTTTTATTGTTTGAGCATTTTCTGACAGCAACCTCCCCTCCCCTAGTAACCGCCAGATGGCGTTGAGCTACAAACCCCATTATCCCCCAGCCATCTGGTTCAGGATGATGGGGCTTCTAGCTTAATATCATCTGGAAGAGTGTTATGAAGAGCCTCGTTTGAGGATGGAGAAAAATGCTAGTTTTCAAAATACGTGTTTGAGAATCAGGAGTGGAGCGAGCACAAAATAGAATGAAGAGGGGGTGGTGGGTTCTGTTTTGTGTTGTTCAGAAAAGAAAGGACAAAAATGGGACATCAAAAATGCCATTCCAAAACACAGATTCACAAATGGGGGGGAGGAGAAAGTTTATTTCTTTTTTAATTAGATTATAAGCAGAACTTTGTTGTTGTTATTGTTACATGCCATCAAGTCTCCCCCAAGAGAGCTTTAAAATGTCTGGTCCTCAGCAGCCCTGCACAGCTCCTCCAAATTCAAGGTTGTGGTTTCCTTGAGGGACTCGGTCCATCTTGTATTGGGTCTTCCTCTTTTCCTGCTGTCTTCGCCTTTTCTCGGCATGAGGGTCTTCTCCAGAGAATCCTGCCTTCTCACGAGGTGCCCAAAGCAGGACAGCCTCAGTACCAGCGTTTTTGCTTCCAGAGAGAGTTCAAGCTTGATTTGATCTAGGACCACTTGTTTGTCTTTCTAGCAGTCCCAAGATAGCTAGCTGCAAAGCTTCTTCCGGCACCACCTTTCAAATAAATCAATTCATCCAAAGCAGGACAGCCTCAGCACCTACATTTTTGCTTCCAGAGAGAATTCAGGCTTGATTTGATCGCGGACCCCCTTGTTTGGCTTTCTAGCAGTCCAGAATATCTGCAAAGCTGTCTTTCTAGCAGTCCCAAGATAGCTAGCTGCAAAGCTTCTTCCGGCACCACCTTTCAAATAAATCAATTCATCTTCTGTCCGCTTTCTTTCCTGGTCCAGCTTTCACACCCGTACATGGTGATCGGAAAGGCAAGAGTGTGGATGATCTTGGTCTCCAGAGTCACATCCTTGGAGTTCATCTTTTCTAATGCTTTCATTGCTGCCTTTCCGAGTCTTCTGATTTCTGGGGTGCGGTCTCTATTTCAATTGAACTACAAACATACAAAAAAAGAATTTGTCAAAGAGGCTTCTTTTCTGAAAATTTTAACCCCACCACAGAAAGCTGCAACACTGTGCAGGATTTTTTTTTTTTACCTGTAAACACCACTGTGCACCGTGGAGCTGACTTCAGAGTAATCACACAAAAATCTGAGATTGAGGTTCCCACTGGACCATGAAATCCCCTGGAGATCTTCGCAAATCATAGTTTCTCAGCCTAAGCTACCCCTCACAGCTTAATTGTGAAGATAACGGGAGGGAACAAGCCCTGTGAGCATCCTGGTCCTCATTGGGATGTGACCTCCAGTGGCAGGGAGTTCCAGAGAGTTGAAAGGAGCCCAATTTTTTTCTCTCGTAAGTGAAAGCTCAAAGGGGTGTATCTTACTCTGGAATGGAAATAGCTTGCTTGGAAGACTCAAAGGTGGGAACGGGATGGGGCAGGCGAGGGAGAAAACGGCAGGGACATAGCAAAACTTGAAAAAGTTCCTTTAAAAAAAATAAAAATACACCAGCCAACTTGGCTACTAGCCGTCCAGGGCCGAGGGAGTGTGAAAACTGGATTCCGAGGCCCAGATGTGGTTGCTCACCGAGGAGACCTAGTGAATCAATGGAATTTACATAAGTGTAGATATATTGGTTGATTTCTTTTTCCAATTTCTCTTTGCTTGCTTTTCTGCAAGGGGCCACCTTTCTCTGGTCTGTTTCCACCCTGCCGCCTTCCTTCCTCTGACGAAATCCATTGCCTCTGTCAACATACAGAGCAGAGGGCAGAAATGTGCAGAAATGTTATGTTTTCTCTCGCTTGAACCTTGCGCTTCTTCGGCCTCTGAGTCATGAGTCTTTCTTTGGGGCCACGTGAAAAGGAATACAAATTTTAAAAGGGGAAAAGGGAGAGAAAAGGGAGGAAAGGACAAAAAAAGGGAGGAGGTGGAGAGAAGAGAACGGAGCCTGAAAACAATCTTGGCCCATGTGTCTGGGGATCATGGGAGTTGTAGTGGGACACAACTCAACTGCACCCACTTACAGAAAAGCTTTCTTGGGGGTTAGAAACTGGAATCCCAGTTGAATCTGGTGGAGGAAATTCTTAATGAGGGACTAAGAAAAGGGGGTTTCATGCATTAAAGCAACATGTCCTGGAAAACAAGGGAACTTATCGTCCATTTTCCACCTCATGAGGGAGGGGAATTTAGTGATTTTGGGAAAGGCAGACTGTCCTACACTCAAGGGTTGTGGGTTGTTATCATTTACTCAGAAGGATCTCAAAAAAGAAAGTGGTATGATATGGGAGGGGGGCTTAAGGGAAGGGTTGCACCTTATGATTTAAAAGTAGAGTTTGGAAAAAGTTCTTTTTTGGACTACAACTCCCAGCTATGCTGGTTGAAGGATTCTGGGAGTTGTAGTTGGAAGAAGGAGCTTTGGAAATCTCGATGCTGTCGAGTTGACGCTGGAGTTCCCAGCTTTTAAAAACCTGCCCCTCTGTATTCTGGAAAGTGAACCTCTCCCTTGTAAAGTCATTTTTCTAAGATTTCGCTTAGAGAAGAACAAGCAGGCAGGCCGTGGACCTGAGTTCAGGGATCAGGGGAACGGGAGGCTAAATTCGGACAGATTTCTGGATGGCTCAGACCTCTAGTACGTGAGATAACATGTTCTCTGAAAGAGGCGAAGGAAAGCAGAAGGACGTGCTGATGATGTCAGCGTCGAAGAGGGGAAATCTCCCTTTAAATAAGGGTTTTTCCCGTGACAATAAAGGTCACCTGGAAATAAGCCAAGCTGGAGATAAAATTCTGAATTTTGGGAAGCGAGGGGCCTTCCAGGAGATAGCACAGCCGGTAAAAATCACTTGCAAAAACTGCATGTGTGTTTTAATATTAGTCATTTGATATGCTCAAATCCTGGCTTCCCTTCAGAGAGCTCAAAATGGTGTATATATGGTTTTCTCCACCCATCTTCACGACGGCCTTGCAAAGCAGTTCCAGAGCTTCAAAAGTGGTTTGTTGGTTTGTTTGTTTTTTGCGTGCTAGAACTGTCAGAACCTAGTTGGGGGATTCTGGAAGTTGTAGTCCAAAAATAATGCTCCTGAGCTCTGGAGAGGTCAGGATGAAAGAGAACCATCATGAGCAAGCCATTAGCTGACATTCACCTAGTTTCATGGCAAGCCTTGGGAACGTAAACTGGATTTTCCGACTCGCGGGTCCGTTGCGCTAACCACTGTACCTCACTGCCCCTCCCTGGCTGTTGTGGATGCTAGTCTCCGGTTTCAAGTCTCTGAAAAATGCTAAACGTTTTGATGCTGATGCTGATAGACCAAAGTTTTGATGAACACTTGGGTTGGCAGGATAAGGTGAAGCACCTCCTCCATCCTTCAGAAGGGTGGTGGCCCTTGATTGCAGAGTTAAGAGAAAAACTGGCAGGCATCGGTTCCACAGGTGGTGTGGCCAGGGAGGGAAAGCTTCACCTGTTGAACATTTGCTTTTTCTGCCTCCGGCCGTGGCAAAAACAACCGCTTTTCTTGACTCTTCAAAGCCAGGGCTTTTCGGGTTTCTAAAAAGAAAGTATGTGGACCATCGCAAAGGAACGCAGGGTCTCGCTGTGGCCTTTTCTAGCTTGGGATGGAAATACGGGCAGATCGAGAAACAAACCGTGGAATTTTCCTGCTTCCTTCCTCGGCTGTGCAGGACAGGTCCTGCTTCCATCCAGGGTTGGGATCAGATAATAAAGCAGGTCTGCCCTGCCTGGAGGGGATGGTGGCTGGCTCTCCCAGGAGCTGTATCGGCCTCTGTCCTTGGGCCAAGCCGCCAGCGGTGGTTCTGGTGACTCTTGAAAACATCCACTTGAAAACATCCACCTGTTAGCAGTGCCTCCCTCTCAGGTTTGGGGGAGAGAGGGGTTTTAACAGAATCTGGGCTGGAGCAAGTAAGATTGCTCAGCACAATGTCAACGGGAGTTCCGCCCCCTTGCCCTACAGCACCCCTTGTGGCTGGCCAGGGAATGGCGCTCACCTCCTTCTTTGTCTCTTCCAGACGCGATGCCAGTATCAGACCCCCGGGAGGACGTGGGCCGCTGGGCCAACGTCAGTTACCGTGTGCGGCAGCCCGAGGCGACCCCCAGGAGGAAAAAGCGTTGGTTCTACAAATGCTGCAGCTGTTGTTCCCGCCAGGATGCGGGCGACTGGGGACCAGCCCCGGGGGAGGTCCCTGGGTCCCGCCCCCGGGAGCCTGTCATTCGAGGTAAGTATTTGGGCAACCCAAAGGACACCGGGGCTCACCGAGAGAGAGGGACACCCCGCAGATCTTTTTTCAGGGCTCCAGCTGTGCCAGATGCGAAATTAAAAAGCCAGCTCTATCCGTACTCCGTGGCAGGCGATCCAGATGTGCCACCTGGGATTCTTCTGCCTGCTGTCTGGGACCTGTAGTCCAAAATAATAGCATTTTCAACATCTGGCTCCCCCTTAAGGCCTGAGATTCTGAGAGCGTCCTTTGGTCGACTTCCTCCAAAAAAAAGATCACATTTCAAATTTGACCTAATTGCTAGAATAATGCGGCTTTTATTCAGCAACATTTTAGGGCCTTTTAAACCTGACCTCCTTAGGGTCTCTTAAATCTGATTTTCTCTGTAGGCAAAGCAGGAAAAAAAGCAAAAGGTTTAATGCACTCCCAGGCAGTTGAAAACTCAGTTGTTCAGGCTATGCATTACCCCCCCAATCCCCCCCAGCAAGCTGGGTACTCAATTTACTGACCTCAGAAGGATGGGGGGGCTGAGTACCACGTCAAGCCAGCTACCTATGTCTGTCGGGAATCATACTCAGGGTGTAAGCAGAGTCTTCATTGCGGTAGTGCAGTAGAACCACCGCATCGTGAGGTTTTGAGACTGGAATTCTAAACATTCCAGTTTGAAAATTCAGTGTCGAGGGACAAAGGGTTTTTTTAAAAAAAAAATTAGCAATTACAGCCAAACACTAAACAGTGCCTTATCTGCCTGTTTTCCCCTGGTTCTTACTTCCTCGACTCTCCATCTCCTGAATTTCCAGCATGACTAGCAGAAATGTCAAGGCTTTGGGTCTCAGAGTCCCCTAGCTAGCATAGTCCCAGGCTAACATGTTCTGTACATTTGAGGGGGTAGTCCAGAAAAGTGATTTTTTACAGTTTTCATCTGGCAAACGAGGACATCTCTAGAGCTGTGCCTTCAATTCTGACGCATGGCCTTACCGTCCTCCTTCCTTTGGGCTTCTAACCCCTTTGGGGCAAAGAAGTGGCTTTTTTAAAAACACCGGCCACTTTGATGTCCCTTCCATATCTAGCATTTTATGGGCTATAGCCTCGCCTCTCTCTTTTCTTTTTCTTCTTTTACTGGAAGTTGGATGCCATCATGATTTTTGGACGCAGCCTCTCTCAACCGCGCTACTGTCTTGCCTCCAAACCAGTTTCCCGGGTCCCGCTGCTAATAAACTCTCCCAATAACTTAGGTCCTGTTCTTGTAAAACTTTGATATCCTCTCCTGTGAGCAAATGTTGTTTTAAAAACTCTCTTCTCTCCCCCCCACTTCTCTATCTCTTTTACCCCACTTTTCTCCTTAAAGAAGGACCCAAGGTGGCTTACATCATTAAAAGACAATATCTAAAGCTAAAAAAAAAGGAAGGATAGAAATATTGGAAAGGATCAAATAAAGGCCGCACTAAATAACGATAGCAATGCCAGAAACACATCCAAAGCAGTAAGGTCCAATGATCCATTTAAAACCTCCACTCAAGCAGCCCATCACTCAGGGAAAGCCTGCCTGAAGAGAACGGTCTCTGCCCGCTTGCGCAAGGACAGCAAAGGTGGGGCCAGGCGGGCCTCCAGTAGCAGGGAGTTCCAGAGTCTAAAGGAGCAGCCACAGAGAAGGCCGTCTCTTGTGTGTCCACAAAATTCACCTGTGAAGGTGGCAGGACCGAGAGAAAGGTCTCCCCTGAGGATCTTAACGCCCGAGCCAGCTTATCAAGGGAGACGCGGTCCTGCATCATCTTAAACCTCATTTGCCAGAGATGCGCTGAAAAAAAAAAGTGGTAGAGAAAGCTGAGGGGGGAAAAAAGGGGGCAGTCGCTCAGAAGCATGTGGCTTTCTTCCTTCTTGCGCAGAGGGCATGCTGGTCATCAGCGGGATTGACTTGATGGGCGGCCGCTCCAGCAAAAACCACCGCGACCACCACACCGACGAGTACGAATACGACAACCTCATCATCCGTCGCGGGCAACCCTTTGACATGAAGCTTCAGTTCCGGCAGGACTACGACCCCGAGAACCACCGCGTCTGCCTCGAATTTATCACCGGTATGTGTGCCAAAAGCAGAACGCTGGGGCGGAACATCCCTATTTTGTGCATCGTTGTCAATATAAGTTTCTAGTCCTCATGAATAACCTAGGGAAACAGAAAGGCCAAACTGGGTGGAAAGTCTAAACCATGCCTTCTCCATTTACTCAGGGGAGGATCTTGTCTCCTTTTTCTGGGGAGCATCATCTCCAGGCAGTATAGATCTCGTCATCTTTCCCAGTGGCTCCCCAATATAAAGTTAATTTCAAGTCTCTCATTTCTGCCAAGGAGAATCGGATGGGTGGGGAGGGAGAGTTTTACATCTGGGAAATCTACACCACGCACAGCATTCTGCCATGATAAGAGGACCCCACCCTCTTATTAAAATGGATTGAGTATCCATTTTAACCACAGATTGGCTTAGGATAATGCCAAGCAAAGCCTTCAATCAGTTAAAAAGAAAGAGCCACACGATGCGCTTCATGGTAGCTGAGTGTTGTTCAATTATCTCTAGTGTTTTTCTTGCAACGCTGAACTCATTGCTACAAAAGGAAGTGGATAGTTTAGCTTTCTCTGAAACGAAGACTTGACCGGGGAAAAGAAATGTGTTGAGGGCCGCTAGTCATGATTTCGAAATTGAACCTCTGTGTTCTGTGGCAGTCTACCGTTGAACAACAATGTTCAAGAGAAGGGCTGTTGACTCCATGCATCCTGTGGGTCCCGGAAGTAACTCTTTGGCTACAGTGGGATTTACAAGGTCAACCTGGGCCGGCCTTCACCGTCTGATTCCCCCTCCCGACTTCCTCCTACATCTTTTCATTTTGATATTAATATTAAACGGGAGCCAAAATTTAGCAGGGGTGAACTCAGAAAGCTGCCCTGGGGCCCCAAAGCAGTTCAGCCGGGCCCCAGCGCTCCCTCAATCTGTTGCTCTTCAGAGAAGCAGCAGTGGGTCATCCATTAAAATATGTGGGGTATAGCCCCACGCAGTCATCTAATCCAACTAATCTGGTCTGGTTGGGAGTTCAATTCCTGCCCCCCCATGCCTCCGTGAGAGAGGCTGCACTCCATAATTCATAGGGTTCTTTCCAGCTCTGCAGTTCTAAGGTGATGATGATGATGATGATGATGATATACAGGCCGGGATCATGCCTGCCCAGTTGCTAGAAATCTAAACATAATGACCCACACATATTTCTTTTTTTAAAGTGTATTGTTAAAAAATTCACATTTATCTCTTACGCCAAAGCGGGTCCGAGCCGTTCACAGAATAGACGCTGAAATTACAAAACACCGAAATCCTGTTACAGATTTACCCTGGTGTACATTTATTTACATAAAGCACAGTGGTGAATGGCTGTGTGCATTCTTGGTCATGCGCCAGTTGCCACTCATTCGTTAGTGACAATTTGCTGCTGCCGTTTAAACAATTAACACTTACATTGGTGCAGATCCCCAATTGTAAGATGTAAACAAATTGAAAAGCATGCCTAATAAGATCAAAATAAAAGCCAGCCGCAGCATAAGCACTTAAAAAGCACTTCTGGCTGATGTTTGAAGCTTTAAAACAGGGCGGGCAACTCTAGCTGGGCTGGGAAGCAGTTTACATATATATATATATTTTCGTCCTGGGAACATCCAGGGGCGAAACAAGCCACTATAAATGAAGGGAGAAATGCTGAAAATCAGGAACACCTGGAGAGCCACCTCAAGTTTTGAAGGGAAAAAAATGGATGTTTTTATTGCTAAACACTGCAAGAAATAGGATCCACTGCTTCTTTAAAATGGTATGTGGCTGCTCCTGAAAGTTTCCAGAAGCACTAGCAATTTAATGTATTCTCGAAGGCTTTCATGGCCGGGATCTGATGGTTGTTGTGGGTTTTTTGGGCTGTTTGGCCATGTTCTGGAGGTTTTTCTTCCTAACGTTTTGCCAGTCTCTGTGGCCGGCATCTTCAGAGGACAGGAGTCAGAACTCTGTCTGTGCTCTGGTGTAGTGTGTGGGATAGTTGAGTACTGTAGCATTTGTAGCTGTGGGATCAGCTTTTTGTCCTTTTCAAGAAATTGGGTGATTAGGGAAAAACCTTCAGAACACAGTCAAACAGCCCCAAAAAGACTATAGATTGAGCACAGAGCACAGAGTTTTAAATCCTTTTAAAATCCTCAGGGATTCAAAAGCCTGAGGTTTCAAAAAGACCATCCACCACAGGTGAAGAAAAGACCCTCATGTAGGCACCGGGAGCGTTTATTTGGGGAGAAGGCACTCTGCAGGGAAGGTGTCGCTACTGAAAAGGCCCTGCCACAAGTAACTGCTTCCTGATTTGATTGATGGATGGATTGATTGATTTTAGTGAAGGCATCTCAAGGCGGATCTCCGCCTGTGGCCGGAGGAATTGGGCTCCCAGTTGTTTCGTGCTTTGAAGCACCCCAAAAAGTGTCTGAAAACCAGTATGAGCCCTGAGCGCTTTTGCAGAGTTGGCCATTACGTTGTGTTAAGATGCAACAACCCTCACCAGCCCACCCCAAAGCATGTCAGAGGGTAAGGGGTTGTGAATGTGTAGCTGCAGGGGTTTTGCATCGACATAATACGGTGTGCTTCTGTTCCCGTTTATGGCCCTATTGGGCTGTTTTGCACGTTTCCAAACTCTCTGGAAAGACCCTCCCACACAAGGCACGCTACTGTAACCTGTCCACCGCAGGATGGAGGGCAGGCTGCTTATCTGGTCTTCCTCTACAAATCTCACATTCTTCAAGGCGATCAATGACCAGGATGGTCCCAGTTCTTTTAGCCGGGGTTTCTCTGTTTAGGCGGTTGGCATTGCAGCCAGAAATTCACCAGGGGCTGCTTTGCTCTGGAATGCATCTTCAGGATTGGGGATGGGGGAAGAAACCACACTCGGTCAACTCCGTCCTGCCAGATAGGTCAAGAGAATAATTCCTTGGCAGGGAAAATAAACCAAGAGGCAGTGCCACCCTCTAAACAGAACATCTCGTCTGCTGGAATGGCTTACGCATGCCAAGCGCTTTCAGCTGACTGGTGGAAAGGCTGTGTGCTTGGGACTCTCTCTTATCAGACTGTCTCCACTCCAAGTGGGTGAGGAATTCGGATGGACACGTCCCAGGGAAGAAGGGCTGCTAATTTTGTTCGGGAAAGTGTTTGGAAATATAGGGCAGAACTCCGACGGCCCCTTCTACTGGCTTCCATCCCAGCCCGTACAATAGTTAAGTGCGCATTTCCTCCCCTCCTTACCCCCTTTCCACCCGTCTCTCTGCCCCAGGATCTCCAGAACAGGATCTCACCCTTTCATTAGCTTCGGAGGCTGGCTGACTGGCTCTGTAATTTTTCAGTTCTGTGGGACCCAGGCCTGACATCTGTGTTCCCACCATGTTCCCCCTTAAAATGCTGATGTGGCCGTTTACAGCAGAAGAAAGCGATGACAAACCTCGACAGCATCTTAAACAGCAGAGACATCACCTTGCCAACAAAGGTCCACATAGTCAAAGCTATGGTTTTTTCCAGTAGTGATGTATGGAAGTGAGAGCTGGACCCTAAAGAAAGCAGACCGCTGAAGAATTGATGCTTTTGAATTGTGGTGCTGGAGGAGACTCTTGAGAGTCCCCTGGACTGCAAGGAGAACAAACCTATCTGTTCTGAAGGGAATCAACCCTGAGTGCTCCCTGGAAGGACAGACTCTGAAGCTGAGGCTCCAATCCTTTGGCCATCTCATGAGAAGAGAAGACTCCCTGGAAAAGCCCCTGATGTTGGGAAAGTGTGAAGGCAAGAGGAGAAGGGGACGACAGAGGACAAGATGGTTGGATAGTGTCATCAAAGTGAGCAACGTGAATTTGACCAAACTCCTGGACGCTGTGGAAGACAGGAGGGCCTGGTGTGCTCTGATCCATGGGGTCACGAAGAGTCGGACATGACTTAATGACTAAACAACAACAACAAAAAAGAAGCCAGACGGTCACCCTTACAGAGGATGCTCTTCTGTTTTAACAGAACTTAAGAGGACTGTCTTCTATTTAAAAGGCTACTAGTAGACTCCCAGGATCAGGTGTGGTTTAAAGAGAAGCACAGTGGTGCAAGCCGCAGCGGCAATGGGCCAGTACTTAGCAAGTTGCCGCCTGTATCCCTGGTCACGCCCCAACTCACGAGACTGGCATGGGACAAGAGATACAAGCATGGACTTGTTCACTAGCGGCAATCTGGGGCAACAATTTAGACCCTTGCTCTTCAGTTATGGCAGGGTAACTAACCAATAGGATTCTGGCCCTTGAATCATGAGGAGCCTGATGAGGGATCTGGAAGTGGCTTATACCTCCCCCCTCCCCGCAAAAATTATATGGAAAACAGTGCAGTGCCGGAAGAATATCAGCAAAGGAGTGTGGGACGACTCTTATCATAATAATCTTAGATAACTATAACTTTTGAACTGCAGACCTGGAAGGGATCCTATGGGTCATCTAGTCCAGCCCCTCTCAAGAAGGCACCGGGATCGAATTCCCAACCTCTGGACCTAAAAACCCCTGAGTTATCCAGCAGTCCTGCTATAGGAACAGGTGCTTCCCAATGGAGCTTTCACTATGCCCAGGTTTCATTACAGCTTTCTACAGAGGTTTAGCGTGTTAGAGTGCCCTGATTTAGGGAGTGTGTCCTCCTTTTTAGAAACTCCGGGCTACCCTTTTTCCCACTGGGGTGAGATGTGTCGCAGCTTCCGATTTACATTCATTTCTAATTTTCCATCAGCAGATCTCAAATCATGTGCGCAATTTTATACAAATTGGTGTTCTGCTTTATAACACACACACACAATTTCTGGTGATGCATCACCTCATTTTCTGGGATGGTCAGTTTAGAAGCCAGAGAGAGCACCTGTGCAGGTGAGAGAGGTGGTATAGAGGTGTGCAGGTGTATTTCCACCCCTCCTGGACTTGCTCTGGCTGGGGGATTCTGGAAACTGTAGTCCGCCCCCAAAAAAACCACAGATTCGCACGCCTCTGGATGATCCACTTGGATTTG